CACCAGATTGCTCAAAATACCCAAAAAACAGACGTTGATGGGAGACCCAGATGGAGTTCCTGGCTGCCACCTCTGACCTGGCCCACACCTCGCTGCTGTGGCCATTTGGGGAGTGAACTACATGCCAGATTATTTGGTGAACGGAAGCTCTCGTCCTCCCGTGCGCCCACATGACAGAACGTTTGCCTTCCCGGGTAGATTTATGCAGGGCCCTGCCCCCTGCGTCAGACTGGCTGTTTAGAAGTTGTCTCGAAGATACGAAGAATCAGTACACATGTGGAAATCACCACCCCATCCTCATTTATACTCCCCCCTTGGGGTTGAGAGTGCGTTTGGAGCAGGGCCTGGCATGGGGAGGGAGCCTTCTGACAGCAAAATGTCATTTGTGTGTTTAAAAAAACACAGTCTCAGGAGAGCTGGTTTCCTCCCTGGAATGCGGGCTGCTCAGACAAGCACCGGATGGTTACTGAACGCCCGGCCGAGCCGTGTGGGCCTGGGCACGCTCAGGTCTGTTTCACCCCAGAAGACAGACCCACGCCCAGACCCTGGGCACCGACAGCAACGCGAGACAAAGAAAAGCCACACACGCGTGCTCGCTGTGGTGTGCATGCGATCCAGCCACGGCACCTTCACAGCAGGCACAAAGAGACAAAAAGCCTGGGAAAGCCACCGCCTGCAGCGGCGTCCTATTTGGGCACAGGTTCTAGTCCCGGCTGCTCCACTTCCCATCCAGCTCTCTGCTATGGCCTGGGAAAGCAGTGGAGGATGGTCCAAGTGCTTGGGCCCCTGCACCTGCATGGGAGACCTGGAAGGAGCTCCTGGCTTCTGGCTTTGGATCGGCTCAGCTCCGGTCATTGTGGCCATCTGTGGAGTGAACCAGTGGATGGAAGACCTGTCTCTCTCTCTCTCTCCCTCCCTCCCTCCCTCTCTCCCTCTCTCCCTCTCTGTAATTCTGTCTTTCAAATAAATAAATAAATCTTTTAAAAAAAGAAGAGACCTAAACCACAGGGTGTGGTAACAGTCACACCCTCCAGTGAGCCCCTCTACTGTACATGTCTGTTGTAAACAGATTCTTTCCCTCCCTCCCCTACCCATTGATCTGTGGGAGTGCCCTTTTAACCAAAGGCCTCACACGTTCCTTCCCATAACAACATCTCCTCTTTCACACTGGTCAGCCCTAGAAATAAAAACCAGCATCCAGTTTGTCCGACACACAAGAAGTAGTGACGTCATGCTTGCCAGGGGACGTCCCTGGTGTGTGAGTGTCTGCAGGTGCCCAGTGGACCCTGCCCCTCCCCTGTCTCCTGCCTGCACTGTCTCGTATCCCTTCCTTCTTTTCTACTCCACACGTCCACTGCCCGAACGTGCTCCGTCGCCCTTTCTCAGACATGCCCAGACAGAGGCCCCGCATCCCCGGACAAGGGCACTGGTCTCAGGCATGTTCATACCTCCCCAGCTCCTGCCTAGACCAGCCGAGGCCAAGTCACACCAGATGTGGCCCCCTGGCCCCCAGGACCCTCCTCCCTGTGCCACTAGCATGGTTCCTGTCTGTCTCTGTCTCTCTGTTCTCCCTCCCTGTCTCTGTGTGTGCCTCTCCTCTCTCACCACCCGCTGTGTGCACACACAACCCTTGGTCCCTAACTTCCATCTGGGTCCAGTATCAGCGACGTAGCTGGTCTGCTTCTATGAAGAGAAGCTAAGAAGGATAGAGAGAGATTTTGTCCAGCCCCCTTGTGAGGGTGATGCTGGGGGCAGCCCTTCCCTGGAAGGGGGAGTGGCAGACTGCCTAGGGGCACCATAGCTCCTATCACAGAAATCCATGGTGGCTCTCCTTAACATCAGGAGTGAGCCAGCTAGAGTAGCAACTGCTCCTGTCTGGATAGCTCCACCCAGACCTCTGCTGGAGCCAGAAGAATCACAAATGTAAGTGTAAAAGCCCAAATAGCCACCATCCTGCTCCCAGAGCTCCAGGGCCCAGCCAGCACCAGCCATAGCTCTCTTGTTAGGCATGTGTTGTCCCAGGACCCCGGCCGCTCCTCGAGGGCTAAGCCCTCCCGTCTGACCAGCCACCCAGCTCACACAGTGCCCTGCAGGTCCCCGGGCCTGCCAAGGAGCACACAGAGTGGTGACCAGGCACCTGACCCACCTGAACCTAGTAGCAGGGCTGGAGTAGGGGGCAGTGGCAACCAAACTGCGGGAGACTGTAAGATCCACCCGCAGCCTCACAGTGTGGGCGTTAGTCATTTGCAGGAAACGCTTCCTTGGTCAGAAGATCCCAGCCCTCTTTCTGACGTCAGGTCTTTGCAAACCCAGCCAGCTCAGACATTGCGCCACGGGAGAGTGCTCAGTCTGCCCAGGTGCCTCGGGCGCCAAGATGCAGCCAGCCTCCCGGAGGTTCTGCGTGTGCTGGGCATGGCCTGTGAAGCCCACTGTGTCACAGCTCAGGGTCCAGTTCCCGGCCACTCTACAGTGAGGATTTACAAACTGCAGCTGGCCAGGCACTTCCTTTAGCCTGCATCCCTATTGGAGTGCTGGTCTGAGTCCTGGCCGTTCCCCACTTGCAATCCAGCTCCCTGCTAATGCACCAGGGAGGCAGTGGGTGCTGCCTGCAGTGACTGAGCCCCTGCCACCCACGTGGGACACGGAGTGGAGTTCTGGGCTCCTGGCTTCGCCTGTTGCACTTGGAGAATGAATCAGCAGATGGACTCCCTCTCTCTCTATCTCTCCCTCCCTCTCTCTCTCTCCTCTCTCTCCCTCTCTTCCCCACCCCGTCTCTCTCTTACTCCCTCTGCTTTTCAAAGAAAATAACATCTTCAATAAAAACAAATAAATAAATTTTGACAGTAAATATACCAATTCCCTCCATGGCCCTCCTGTTCCTTTTCGATATTTTGTCCTGTGACTGTGTGATATTTCAAATGACCGCAATCCGAATATGTTGCAATTCTTCAGTGTGTCTTTGTCACTTAACATAACAGGATAAATATTTGGCTTTCCTACTGGAAGTTTCTAAATGACTGCAAAAGGTCCTTCCTGGTCCTATAAAGTTCTTTACCCACCTGTGGTCCCGAGTGTTTTTCCAGTTTTTCTCCATATAAGTAGGCTGCAGTGTGTATCTTCAAGCTTGTCCACTTGTCCCTTCAAAGATTATTTCCAGGGCTGTCTTTCCAGTGCAACAGAAAACGCAAATGGGAATGTGATGCTAGCATTGAGATTCCCAAAATCCAACCTTAACTCTGTGGACTTTGAAGTCACAACGAAACCTCCATCCCTGTATCGGCAGATCTGCATTTCGGGAGGAAACCGTCTGTGTGGCTCATGCGTGATTAACCTGGATCCTCCGACAACATATTCGTAGACTAAACTGTTAGTTTGAGAGCCAGGGACAGGAGGCAGTGTTGGGACGGAACACTGGGGAGCCAGCCTGGTGCAGCCGTAACCTGTGCACGCCCTCTTCCGGGGGCAGCTTCCTCCTACAGGGGCACGTGAACTTGAGAAAGAGAGAGAGGGACTGATGACGGGTGAAGACGTGGGGAGGGACCATGGGTGGGCTTTGCTGTGCCCCCGGCAGCTCCCGTCCCAACCCAGTAACCAAGCCCAGTGTTGGAAGCGTCAGAATCCTTTGGCAGCCGTTTGTAAAATTCCCACTGGGAAGCTGGCTGACCACACCCGCAAAAGACACCAGAACACAGTCGGTCATTCCCTTCATGTAAGACCAGGGGGTAGTCATGTTCCAAAGCGAGCATGAAATTATTTTGAGTTTCTGCTTTAATTCAAGCTGTTTTCTATGTCTCTGTCAGAGACTGACAATTCTAAATAGAAATTAATCATTAGTTTTTGATTGGGAGCGCCCCTATTACTCGAATTATCAAGTATTTAAGCCATCCTTAATCCAAAAAGGCTAGCCAGGTAATCGTTTGCATAATTCGCTCCTTTCCACGACTTGCCTGATAATTGGCAAGTGTCTGATGGCTACTTTCAAGTTTCCAGCTGCCGTATGCAGAGGCGCTAATGTGGAATCTGAGTAGCAGGAGACATGTGGCTGACCACTTATCCACCCACGCTGTGTGGGAGGAGCCTGAGTTCTGTCTGCTGAACCCTCATCTTTTTTTTTTTTTTTTTTTTTTTTTTGACAGGCAGAGTGGACAGTGAGAGAGACAGAGAGAAAGGTCTTCCTCTGCCATTGGTTCACCCTCCAATGGCCGCCACGGCCGGCGCGCTGCAGCCGGCGCACCGCGCTGATCCGATGGCAGGAGCCAGGTGCTTCTCCTGGTCTCCCATGGGGTGCAGGGCCCAAGCACTTGGGCCATCCTCCACTGCACTCCCAGGCCACAGCAGAGAGCTGGCCTGGAAGAGGGGCAACCGGGACAGAATCCGGCGCCCCGACTGGGACTAGAACCCTGTGTGCCGGCGCCGCAAGGCGGAGGATTAACCTAGTGAGCCGCAGCACTGTCTTAAGCCCTCATCTTGTAACAGACTGAGTAGTCCCGACCTCATGAACTTGTGTTTCTACTCAACGCCCCAACAGCTTTTTCCATGTGAGGGCTGTGTGTCTGGGAGCGGCCATGGAGGTGCACAGGGCTTGAGTTGGGAGGTCTGTGCAGGACACGGGGTTTGTTTGCAAATGAAACAAACTTGGGTTGGGCTGCAGGACCTGCTGATCTCAGAAGCAGAGCCTACCTGATGCTTCCCATGTCTGAGGACGGGGAAGCCCACAGGTGCCTGTGACTGTTCTAGTGACCAGGTCGGGCCGACACCCACACCTACCCCTCGCTCCGTCTGTCAAGGTGCCTGGCCCTGGCAGAGGGATGTAGGGTCAGGAGGAACCAGGTGACTCCTGAGGAGGTCCATGCTCACTGCTGGTGTGGGGCAAAGTCAAGGCTTTCTGGGGTGAGAAGTTCCTGTGCGCGTCAACTCCGGGTCTAACTCGCACACCCAGGAGCTCTGCTGTCCTCTGGAAGCCAGTCTGCAGCCTTCTCTTGTTTCTAAGTAGCTTCCTTCTGCAGATGGACACACGGGGCTTATGCCGGTGTGGAAAGGAAGGCACTCGGTTCACACCTTCTCTCCTTTCTCGTCCCCTGCACAGGAGCAGTTTGAGTTTGCGCTGACCGCCGTGGCCGAGGAGGTGAACGCCATCCTCAAGGCCCTCCCCCAGTGAGCTCGCATCCGGCTGGAGCCTCGGAGGAGCCCCTCCCCCCTCCCGTGAGCATCTTCGGGATTCGTGATACGACTTCAATTGTGTGTCTCCTGTTGTCACTGCATAGTAATAGGGTCCTTAAAACTCCTGTAGTCCGTACAATTTAGCAATTCAAATGTGCATTTCTGTTTGACCAAATAATCATCGAAAGGGGTCCGTGGAAATATTCGGTTATTTTCACTTTCTTTAAGAAAACATGACTTTTCCTTGAAGCACACGTTTCACTGTCTTACTTGCCAGCAACAATGATGAATGACGCAGCCATTGACCTGCCGGGTGGGCTCCAGAACTGTTTGGCTGTGGTCTGGGAGTGTCTTCCAGGAATGAAGGCCACCCGGGGTCGAAGCCACGTTTGGCATTTGTCCCCAGCATCAGAAGAACTACTGGCCCAGGACAGTGCACCTCCTGCAGCGTGGGGCAAATGACAAGAAAGCCACCACAGCAGGGGCTCCCCTGCCCCCGGACAGACACCATCGTCGCAGCCCCTGGCGGGTAGCACCTGCTCTTGAAGCCAGGACCTCACCCGACCACCGACCACCGCAGCTTTGCAAAGTTACAGAGGAGCTGCAGCCCGGAGATGTGTTTTTAATGTGCTAATACTGAGTTCTGCATTGCAAAATCTAATGCTTTCCTGTGAGAGGCCCAAAATGGACCAGAAGGAACCTGGACACTCGGAGGCATCCGCAGGCCCTCCAGGGAATGACCCAGGCCCTGCCAGGCCAAGGGAAGGTTCTGGGTCCCTCCTTCCTGGGGAGGCCCCCGGGGAAGGGAGGAAGATGCTGTAGGGCTGGCTTTCCCGGTGTGGGATGTTAGCACCTGGGAGCCACAGCTCACCGCTTCCTCCCGCGCTGTTGGGCTGCTGGGATCCTTGAAGGAACCACTTGCTGTGTTACCATGTTGGTGTAAGCAACAGCCGGACGAATCCGATTCGGAAAATAGCATTGGAACATCAATTTCACTACCCGTCCCAGCCTCAGAAATAGCAAAACTCACCTCATTGAACAATCCCGTCCAAGACTGCATGGATGAAGATTTCTCCTTGAAGGTTAAATACAAGAAAGACACCCCCATCCTGCCCTGTTCCCCGCCACCCTTTCCTCTTAAACAGGACTTTTCAAAAAGCACTGTAGTAGGGGAAGCGGCCAGTGACCCGGGAGAAAGATGCCAAAATGTCATTTGTCCATCCATGGTATTGTAATGTATTTCTGCTTTCCTGTGTCTGTCATTTTTTTTCCAAAGTCTTTTCCTCTATCTGGAATTTAAATAATTAATAGAAATGAATTTATCTGAATTATAGGAAGCATATACCTACTTGTAATTTCTAACTTCTTATGTTTCAAAGAAATCCTCCAGCGTGAGATATATAAATATATTTAGCTGTGGCATATTAGACTCCTGGTTTCACGCGTGCATGGTCTCTTTATGTGGGGAGCAGACAGCGACGTTTGCCCACCCACCTTTCTGCTTCCGGAGGCTACTGAATGCTCCGGTTCCTGAAACGAAGCATGTGCCTTGAACTCAGACCGGCTACACCGCTGGCGTACGGCCGGCGAGAGGCGTGCAGAGTGCTCCTGGGATTTTATTCTTTAAAGGCGACTAAGCAACGTCAGTGGAAGCTGCAGACGGTGCCCGCTGCATGCCCCAGCCTCCTCACGGCTTGCGTGTCCCAGGGAGGGAGGGCGTTTGGGGTAAGGATGTCTCTCCTCCTTCCCCGCCCATCCTCTGCTGTGCTAACCACCTGCTGGAAGCGCAGGGCCCTGTCCCAGCGAGTCTCCTAATGCGTTTCCCCCAGCGCGCTGATCTGGTCCGGTTATTGACCCTTCTGTCCTCAGTGGACGCTGGACCTCATCCTCACTGGCCACATGCTACACTGCCCACATGACAGGAGAGCACGCCTGGGGACCTCTCAAATCGTACTGAAAGGGGAGTGGGGAGGAGTGGGTGCGTGTCTGGCCTCCTGTTCATCTTCTACCCCTCTGTTCAGCTCCAGTGAGAAGGAATGAAGATCCACGGGGATCTGTTATCCCAAAACCAGACCGCTCCCCACAGGGCCCACCAACTCAGGGCATCCGGTGTGCGGCACATGCTGGCACTGGCTACTGGGAAAGCCAGACCCTCCACTTGCAGCCTTTCCCCTGAGCGCGTCCCTCTTCCTCGTGTTGAAATCCTCCCTTAGCATCCACCAGATACCTGATTGTTACTGTAACGTGTTTCTGGTGACACTGTCGTTTCGAGCGCATGGAGCAATCTGTAATGCATTTCAGAACGAGCAGCCCAGGGCAGGAGGCAACCTGAGGAGCCCGGTAGAGATCCCGCACCTGCTGTGACTGTTGAGAAATGCTGCACACACACAGTGCTCCACGAAACACTTCCTAACACAGAGCCGGGCTCTGGAGACCCCGAGAACTGCCCAGGTGCTCCTTAGAGAGGGAGGGACATGCGCGGAGCATGAACGGCCCCAGGGCGTGCTGTGCTGCTACATGTTTGACAACCAACTCTTAAAAAACACTTGCAGAAATGAATGCAGTTGGGCTGGCGCCGCGGCTCACTAGGCTAATCTTCCGCCTAGCGGCGCTGGCACACCGGGTTCTAGTCCGGGTCGGGGCACAGGATTCTGTCCCGGTTGCCCTTCTTCCAGTCCAGCTCTCTGCTGTGGCCCAGGAGCGCAGTGGAGGATGGCCCAACTGCTTGGGCCCTGCACCCGCATGAGAAACCAGGAGGAAGCACCTGGCTCCTGGCTTCGGATCGGTGCAGCGCGCTGGCCGAAATGCACTGGCCGTAGTGGCCATTTGGGGGGTGAACCAACAGAAAAAGGAAGACCTTTCTCTCTCTCTCTCTCACACACACACTAACTCTGCCTGTCAAAAAAAAAAATAAAAAAATACTAATAAAAGAAATGAATGCAGTTGATGGGCTGGCGTTGTTGGCGTAGCGACGTCAGCCTCCCACGCGGCACCAGTTCGTGTCCCCGCTGTTCCACTTGTGCATGGAAGCAGCAGAGGTTGGTCCAAGTACCTAGGCCCCTGCCAGCCACCTTGGAGACCCGGATGAAGCACCTGGCTCCTGGCTTCAGCCTGGCCCAGGCCTGGTCATTGCAGTAACCTGGGGAGTGAACCAGCAGGTGGAGGATATCTCTCTCTCTCTCTCTCTTTCTCTCATGTGTCTCTCCCTCTCTGTAACTCTGAAATTCAAATAAGATTTATTTATTTGAATTTGAAACTCAGAGTTACACAGAGAGAAGGAGAGGCAGAAAGAGAGAGAGGTCTTCTATCTGCTGGTTCACTCCCCAATTGGCCACGATGGCCAGAGCTGTGCCGATCCAAAGCCAGGAGCCAGGCACTCCCTCGGGGTCTCCCACGCAGGTGCAAGGGCCCAAGCACTTGGGCCACCCTCCACTGCTTTCCCAGGCCATAGCAGAGACCTGGATAGGAAGTGGAACAGCTGGGACTTGAACCGGCACTCATATGGGATGCCAGCACCACAGGCAGTGGCTTTACTCGATATACCACAGCGCCAGCCCCAATAAATCCTTTTTAAAAAGAAATTGTGCGGGGCCAGTAGCAGGTAAAGCCACCGCCTGCGGTGCCAGCATCCTGTATGGGTGCAGGTTCGAGTCCCGGCTGCTCCTCTTCCGATCCAGCTCTCTGCTATGGCCTGGGAAAGCAGTCCAAGATGGCCCAAGTCCTTGGGCCCCTGCACCCACGTGGGAGACCCAGAAGAAGCTCCTGGCTCCTGGCTTCAGATCAGCACAGCTCCAGCCATTGCAACCATCTGGGGAGTGAACCAACAAATGGAAGACCCTTCTCTCTCTCTCTGCCTCTGCTTGTCTGTAACTGCCTTTCAAATAAAATAAATACATCTTTCAAAAAAAAAAAAGAAGAAGAAGAAGAAATTGAGCAGCCTGCCAATGTAAGACTAGCCCAGCACCTACAAATAACAGCACAATGGTCTCTGTGGTAGTCAGCTGATTCCCGTGCAATGCGCCCTTTCACTTTTTGTGGCACTCTGGGATCCATAGCCAAATCGTGATTGCCCTCGGGGACGGAGCGCAGTTCCGACGTGAGTGTCGGTTGACGTTCGTGCGTCCGAGTGGCAGGAGGAGGCCACAGGGGGATAGGTCGGGACCTCGCTCATCAACCGCCTGAGCAACTTCTGCAAGACGGGATGGTGGTTTTGGAACCCTGGGGGCCACCTTTGCGCCCAACCTCGGTGCCTGTCACCGTGGAAGGGCCACAGACGCCACCGCGTGCACCTTTAAGCGTGACCAGCCTCGTGGACGCCTTCTCGAAACACGGAAGGGCTGCCCTGGTGTGTGGTGTGTGCTGGTTTCCATGATGTGAATTCAGGGCTGTGATGCATTTCGGTGCGGCCATACAGGCCGTGGGAAGCAACTCCACAGCGCGGGCACAAGCGGTGGAATCGGGAAGAGCTGACAGCTGCTGCAGGTGACAGTCAAATAGGCAACATGATGAGAAAGTGAAAGTTTGGCTGTTGCCTGTGTTTTAATACTGTCCATTTAGAGTAGTATTTAATAATAAGCCTACACAGCCAGCACCGCGGCTCACTAGGCTAATCCTCCACCTTGCGGCACCGGCACACCGGGTTCTAGTCCCGGTCGGGGCGCCAGATTCTGTCCTGGTTGCCCCTCTTCCAGGCCAGCTCTCTGCTGTGGCCAGGGAGTGCAGTGGAGGATGGCCCAAGTGCTTGGGCCCTGCACCCCATGGGAGACCAGGAGAAGCACCTGGCTCCTGCCATCGGATCAGTGTGGTGTGCCGGCCGCGGTAGCCATTGGAGGGTGAACCAATGGCAAAAGGAAGACCTTTCTCTCTGTCTCTCTCTCTCTCACTGTCCACTCTGCCTGTCAATAATAATAATAATAATAAGCCTACACAACCTGCTCCTGCAAGTTAGCACAAGCTGACCAATGCACAACCACACGACACAGGGTGGGACGTGGGGGACCCCTCTGTAGCACTATCCAGCAGGAAACAGAAAAATCCCTATTACAGGCGTAGTCTACTCCACCTACATGGTACAGGAAATCCAGGTGGAAAAATGAGGCTTGAAAACCGACTGAAGCCCATTGAAATCCTTGGGTCCCCCAGATAAGTGAAGGCCAGAACCTGTCAGTGTGGACCCTACAACCCAGAGAAGAGACGACCCGGGAAGATCAGCTCTCGGTGAAAAGTGACGAAGCACCATCGGGGAGCGACATCTAGGGTGCAGAAACGCAGATACCAATAAGAAAAGGGAATAAAATCCGCTTCAACTATTTGAAAGACAGGCAGATAACAGCATGGCGGAAAAACTGGATTTGAAAAAGAAAGAAACAAAAGTAGAAATGAAACCAAAAGGGAGAAATCACTTTAAGGGTAGAGGATGCATGTTCATAGCTCAACTTAAGACTCAGTGTCGGCCGGCGCCGCAGCTCACTAGGCTAATCCTCTGCCTTGCGGCACGGGCACACCGGGTTCTAATCCCGGTCAGGGCGCCGGATTCTGTCCCAATTGCTCCTCTTCCAGGCCAGCTCTCTGCTGTGGCCCGGGAGTGCAGTGGAGGATGGCCCTGTCCGCAGCGCACTGTCCGCAGCGGCCATTGGAGGGTGAACCAAGAGCAAAGGAAGACTTTTCTCTCTCTCTCTCTCACTATCCACTCTGCCTGTCAAAAAAAAAAAAAAAAAAAAAACTCAATGAGTTAAATAGAGGACTGGGTACATCTGAACACCCATGGTAACGTGGAAGACGAGATGAAAATATACAAGTTAGGAGAGGTAGCGAGCAGGGTGCATGTTCCCGCAGAAAGTGGAGTTGAGTGCCAAGGGTCCTTTGGCATCTCTCCAACCAGACAGGTGCGCCAGTTTGGACACAGCTTTTTGATTTCAGCATCGTTCTCAGAGTTGAGTTTCAGTTCTGGCTAGGCAATGGGGACTTGTTTAAAATTCCTGCTGTCGGGATGAGACTTTCTTCCCGACTGATGTGTGTGACTCGGGATGGGGACCCTGGCTGGCATCAGAGGGTGTCAGTGCCCCAAACCACGAGGAGGGCTTTCTGCCACCCCAGGTGCCCGGCAGCTGCTGGTGGATTCCAACATGACCCTGACTCAGGGTGGGGTAGGGAGGGCATGGGGCAGGGCGGCGTGGGACTTGCCTTGAAGGGCTTCAAGATTAACTAAGAAATTACCCAGCCCTTGAGAGGCTAAAGAGAGCAGGAGACTAGCCAGAGAGGGGAGGTGTGCCCGGTCACCCCACTTTACAGCAGGCAGTGGCCGTGCAGCAGCAGGCTGTGCACAGGGCTCCCAGACAGAATGAATTTGTGTCCAGGACACGGCAGTCGCTCTGAAGCCGCAGTCTGGAGTTCAGCCGAGACGCTGCGGTGACTGGTTCCTTCCCCCCA